TAAAAAAACGCTCACGTAATTTGAAAACGTACAACATAACTTATTTGATTATCTATCTTAATAAATATCGGTATAAGTATCACCAATGTTTATTTAATGAAACCATTGCCATACTAATATTTTGAAGCAGTATGTCCCATATTTAGTGAATTATTATTGTGTAGCGTTGAAAAAAATTAAAATAATTATTATAACTGGCATGTAAAAAACTAGATAATAATTTAATATCATATAATTTAAACAGCAGAATAAATATAAAAACCACGTAATTATATAAACAAAAGGAATGAACATTATAATAATTATTTTCTGGAAAATTGGTAATTTTATTGAAAACTAACAGATGTGTCGTTTTTCATTAAATTCTCAAGGCAGCAGAGCTCCTAGGGAATTTTGAGTTGGCACATATGCCATATTTATAGGGTATTTTATACTCTATTCAAAAATTTTATGCTCTTCGTTTTTTTGGTAAAATCAAGGTGCTCTGCTAGATGCGAACAAAGTCAGCAGAGCAGCTGAGTTTTTATAAACAACACCAAATTTTTAGGCTCTTAAAATATAATTTTTTTTCGAAAAAATTAGTGTTTTTAAAAAAATACAGGATGCTGTGCTAGCTTCGAACGAATCCAGCAGAGCAGCGCTTTTCTAAAAACAACCACACCACAGTTTTATAATATTTCAAGAGCCTAAAAATAGCTTTAAAAAATGTAGTTGTTTCAGAAAAAAAAAAAATTAATAAACGGAGGCACTCTGCTGACTTTGTTCCAACAAAGCACTCTGTATTATTCATAAATAGCAATTTTTAAGTGTTATAATATTTCAAGAGCCTAAAAATAGCCTTACAATGTAATGTGGTTGTTTTTAGAAAAGCCTTAAAAAACCTAAAAATATAGGTGGTTTTTGATAAAAAAAACAGTGGTTCTCTGCTGACTTCGTTAGAAGCTGGCAGAGCACCTTGATTTTTGTTAAAAACGAGGAGCATAAAATGTTTGAGTAGATAAAAATAGCCTTAAAATAAGTAGCCTAAAAATATGGCATAGGTTTAAAAAAAAAATCGGTAGGTGCTCTGCTGCCTTCTTTGGTATAAATTGATGAGGGGTTTGGGTCCTGCAAAAAATTTAAACACTCATTTTAAAAGCAAATCAACTGTATCCTCCAAATCTGAATGACATCAACTGTTTTTAAAATTGATCCTTGTAGGGTGAATAACTTCAAAGGGAGGAGTACTAGAAGATGAAAGTTATAACTTTTTTTTTGAGTAAAAGATATCTCCAAATACTTCTGGAATTTATACAGGATGATTCACATTAAATTTTTTTCCACATTGATTTCTAAACTAGCAGAAATATTTTATCAATTAAATGTGAAAAAATTGGTAGTAATACCTACTAATAGATAATAGGAATAACCTCAGTAATAGCTAAGTATATACACTTAAAAATACAAAATGCATTATCGTCCCTAAAATGAATCATAGATGAAGCAAACATAATATAGTTTAAGTACTTATATAATCTCTTTAGATAAAAAAGATAATAAAATGTTTCCACATTTCTTAGATAAATGCACTGGAACCTTAAAATATTTTATCAAAACTAGACATAAACCACTGATTAAATTATTATATACAAAAATATATTGTTAAATGTATAATCTTTATAGAGGGTGGGCCACCAGTAACGCCTTGGTCTGTAGAGCCAAAAATATTTGCTTTTTTAAATGTTTTCACAGCAAGATATATATTAGAAAAGACAACAATTTAAAAATAATTTCAATTATACAGGGTTCTCTAGGAAAGTGATGTTTTTTAAATGGAACACCATGTATTTTATATTTGAATTGCCCTCGCTTTTCTCATTATAACAATACCAAATAGTATAGCATTATACAGGGTAGGGGTACAATAAGCCTAGAGCTTCAGTACAAGTGGGCTTTGAACCACGCCCTAATTCAGATGATGATTATACAGGGTAACCAGTTTTATATGAAAATCATATTGATTTCAATGACCTGTATACTGCGACATTTTATGCAGATGCACTACTTTTTTTCATTTTGAAATAAATCTGTATATGATGAGCCAAAACTCAAATACTTATCATTTTATATCTATTTTTTTTTAATTGACTGACCTTTTATAGCCCCATTCAAGAGTACCGTAATCAAACTTTTATTTCAGTTAAGTACCTATTCCCTATAGGTACTGGGTACCTATTGGGAAATTTTTAAATTTCAATAACAAAAATTATAATTCACAAAATAATTTAATTTTAACTGGGCACTGATAAATAGGAAATACTAATGGTTAATTAGTAATTAGAATTTAACAAGCTATAATTAATTATCATTTAAATATGTTTTTGACAATTTCTAATAGGACTTTAACATTCAGTAAAAAATAAATATAATTAACAACCAATCATAGACTCACTCATTATTAGGGATCGACTGATACTGATATCAGTATATCGACCTTCAATTTTATTTATCATATCAGTATCAGTCTTCTTCCTATATGGTGGTGATTTACTTGCTTTCATACCGATAAGTTCTTCAAAAGTATTCCAAAAGAAACCGTGATAAATCGAGTCAGGGACATTGCCATGAATCTCTTGGTGTACCTGATTTGATTTCTTAGCAATTTTTGGGACATAATCGGTCAATTTTTCTTGAGTTTTATAGTGGAATATTCATACCTAATGTAGCCTATTGGACTGAATTTTCAGTTCAATAAATGACAATTATTATTATTATTATTATTATTATATTCATAATAAAAATGTATGGCTGAAATATGTATACAAGTATCAGCCACAAAAAATCATACTGATTGATACTTATTCATTATTACTAATAATAATATTAATAATGATCTTCCTTATTCACCCCCTTATGAATGAATTTCAACTCCTGAAGCCTGACCAATATTGTGTGGAGAACGGACGGATATTATTTTCTGTGGCGCTTCGGAGGAGACTTAAAGATGATTGACTTACAGTAATGCATGACAATTTATAATCTGGATGCAATATCAACAGAAATTAAATTACTGCTAATATGGCACCCATCAAATCCTACAACGAACCATGCAAATTAATTAAAAATTCACAAGATCTGCCTACTAGGTCCACTAGTTATCTAGTAAAGTCTGAGTCATAATTAAGTTAATAAAATAGTTTAATTTGATTAGTATCATCTAAATTTTCTGGTAGTTACAAATTTTAGAAGACCAATAACAGTCTAAATGTAACTACCAATGCACTAATTATATAATTTATATTGTGAGGTGTGTAATTTATAATACGGGTAAAATAACATTTATTTTAACCCTTTGTGAACAAAATTAAAAACTGTCTAAGTTTGATTAGGTATTGTATGAAATATATGTTTCCGCTGTTACCGAATATTTATAATTTCATTATGGAAGTACAATTTTTGATGTTGTTTTTTATTTTGTATTTGTGCATATAACATATAACATATATTTTTTATTGTAAAATGGGGTTTTCCCATAAATAAATAAATTAATTTTTATAATTGTTTGTAAGTTTAACTCCCTGTACTTACTTATAAAATTATAATAACCATTTCTAACAAAATTAAATATTAGTTCTGAGTAGGGTCAATTAGCTACTCTCAAATTATGGAGTTATCTTATATTTCAACACTTTTATTATTTCAGTAGGTACTTACATAGTACTTAAATACTTGTTATTATAATTATCTAATCAGGATCAGACATGGCTTGTGGCTTAGTCTACAAGGAGGTTATGGAGGCTACTTTTGAAAGGCACACATAATTAATAAAAATATATATTTCTATTAAAATACAAAAAGCAGAAATATTACATTATATTCTAATAGAAATATGTATTTGTATTAAGTATATAGGGCGAGCCAGCTTCCTCATAGACAAGGCCAAAAGCAGCCTCTGATCAGGATCATAGGCATATGAGCACATTGAACAATAAAAACAATTTACATTAGTTTTTTGTTTGTCAAGTACTAACTAAAGATATTTTTATTTTAAAAAGTGCAAATTTCAGTTTGGAATCACAATCAACCTGAATATTTGTAAAAGTACATTCTCTAAAATTTACATAGTTCCAAATCATAAGTAGAGGGTAAATGTCTAGTTTGAGCTCTTTTTGATTACGGAAAAACTAAGCAAAGATACTTGTAGGTATTGCTATTCTAAACAAAAAAAAAAAACTAAGTTCCATACCTATCTTGTGCAAATGAATGATACAAATAATTTTTTTAAATAAAAATTTGTAATTTTTTCCATTAATTTTGCGGGAAAAGCAATGAATAGGGGTGCTGGGTGGGAAAAACAATGTCAATATTTATAATATTATAAAATACTGTTAGGACTAGGAAAATTATTAGAGATCAATTGCTGTACTTTTGATACTAAATACCTAATTGCATGATAAACTTATTGTGCGACTTGGCAATAGTTTAAGACATAAAAGTAGCATCTGCGAGCTTTAATTTGAGACAATTTGTGATATATTATTTCAAAAAATGATTTGTGTCATCATTAATTTGCACAAGATATGGTACTAAGATTTTTTGTTAATAATAGTAAGCAAGTAAGTATGCTTAGTTTCTCCATAAGTGAAAAAAACTCAAACTAGACAATGACCTTAGTTTTTTGTTTATCAAGTACTAAGTAACTTAAAGATATTGTTATTTTAAAAAGAGAAAATTTCAGTTTGGAAGCACAATCACAACTTGCATATTATTTGTAAAAGTACATTCTCTAAATAACATTTACATACCTAGTTATAAAAATTGTTATCTTTTCAATTCTGAAATAGTAGGTATGGATAAAGTTCAAATATTTATTTGTACATTTTCACTTAAATTATATTAATCAAATATTGACTTAATCAGATCTAGATATCACTTTCGATTGAAATTATGACAAATACTATTACCTAGGCAGGTACCAACTAGAACCACTGGATATTTAATACCTATAAATGTGTACTTACTTAAGAAAAGTTTGATCAGCCAATTGCTTTACACGAAAGAACTGCTTCTTCATATTAAAATCAATCCATTCACATTATCTTATCCAATATCATTAAATAAATTTTGCTGATATGTGTAAAAACCTGAATAAGGTTATTATTTGTTCTATAAACAGCACCTCCTACGAATTGTAATATTTTCAAACCGAACACATTGTTATGTTGTAGACTGTACTTTTTTTGTTGTAATTACTTGAACAACAGCGTCTTATCACTTTCTTAAAATTTATTAATTAAAGATAACGAGTTAAAAAATAGAAACAAGTAAATCCACAGTTCACGGAACTAATGCAAAAATCACACAACCTGCTAAAATATGACATGTGACATGACATATGACATTAATTTAATCTTCTCGTTCTTCGTTAAGATTGGACAATGAAGTTTATCATAGAATTGCTTTATCGGTTCATATTAAAATATGATTGGTTACCACGAAAATAACAATGGTAGAACGCCATTATGTGAACGAACGGTAAAAAGAAGAATTCTGTAATAAGGGACTGTTAGTTTGTGTATATACAAGTAGATGCCGCTAAGCTATATATAAGTATTTTAATGAACTTGCTCATTTAAATGTAAAGTATTTTATAATGCCTAATTCTACATTTACCAATGCCGTAAATATTAACTATAAAGGTTATCTGATTTTTTTATCTGACATTTTGTTATTTTGAATTATCTTATACAGCTTTATTTAATATAGTGGCGGTAACTGATGAGTAACTTACTAAACTGTTCAGCAATGTAGCTACCTACAAAGCTGTGAGACTTTCTGTTTTGGAATACTGCTAAAAGATGGACAAACTGTAGACAATTTTTGAATTTTTAAAACATGAGACCAGGACAGGACCCCAGACCCACCCACGTTAATTTTCTTTTATTTATGATGCCATCTGGATCAAATTTGGGACAAACCTACTAGACATAATTTCGAATTGACACTTATAAAATGGCAGACTTCCGGTTTTACCCAAAATGCCATTAAGTTTGATTTTTTTAAATGGATCACGCTGTTTATTTTATGTACATTGGAATATCTACTATGGTTCAAATTACATATGACAGTTTCGCCAAATTTTCTTTTTGACCCTATTATTTTTTTTATGTAAAAAGCCATTAACTGGAAATAGTAATTTGTGCAACAAGAGTGGATACGATGGCCATATCGCACGAAGACCAAATTTGAGCACGACGCCGTAGGCGGAGTGCTCAATCGTCTGAGTGCAATGTGGACAATCCACTCGAGTTGTACAGTATATTTTTTCTACGACCCACTAACGAAAATTTACAAATAAAAAAATATTTTAGGTTATAAGGAGAAAATAACTAATTTTAAAATTATTTAATATTTTTAATAATTTTTAAAATAAAATAAATAAAAAAAAAACAAAAAGTTCATTTCATTTTTACCTATCGGAGAATCGAACTCGAGTTTTCCGTGTGGAATAAAAGAACGCTGACAGGACAGGACCATCTTTTTTCTATTTTTGTTGCTTTAATACTCCCAATTAAATTGACTTCATATAGTTTTATTTAAATTAACAAATTATTTATAATTATAGACGAAATAAAAACAGAAATGCTATTATTTATCGATTCTACACAAGAATAACCCATTTTAATGTATGTTTAATCTCAATAACTAAAATATATACTAACAATTAGTTTGACAGAATTGTCACTTATTTAAAATTTTAAAAATATTAGCCGTTGGTTGATCAAAATATGAACGGTGATTGGTGGATTTAATTTTTTTGCAGTATTCTCACTACCTAGAATGGATATGAAATATATTCGTTCAGTTGAAGGCAACAGCATACTTTTTCGTTCTATAATCTGTGCGTAGATAAGCTAATATCCATGTGGGTGTAGAAAAATAATGTTCTAATAGCCTCGAATAACGGTTTGTAGACAACACGGTAGTCTCATCACGGTTGCTAAGGACGCAGTGACGTCACGGAATGAAAAAGTGAGTTGACAGAAAATATTCTACTTGAGGTCGTACATTAGTTTTTAAAAAATCTAATATTTTATTATTTAGTGGCGTGTATATTTTTATTTTTTGAATTTTGGTCTGGTGTTTTTATAATACCGATAGTTTGATTTTTTGAAAGACAAATGATTTCCATCAAATTTCAGAATAATTACTTTTTATTTGAAATATAAAGATAAATATTATTGAGTGAATGATTTATTTTAAACATTTTGGATTAGGGTATGGCCTCCGAGCTGAATTCGAAACACTATTTATATCCCAAAATATTTTGATATTTTTGCAAGCCTGGAGCGAGCCGTAGTGTTGCTATTGCCAAATTTTTACTTTTTGCACACTAAAACCACCCGGTATTATTGTCAAAATTAAAAAAAAAGTTAATTTTTTATGATATTATAAATAAATAAAATTAATAATAAAGTATTGCGAGGAAGCCGCCCAAAAATAGATTAGGAGGACGAAGAAAAGAATAAACAACGAAAAATAATTTTATTTTAAAAATGAAAACAAATTTTTTTATTCAAATATCGGTGTGTTCTTACCTATGGCTTAACGTGTAGAGTGCAAGTAAGTTATAAATTTTAATTTTTCCGAAAAAATCTATATAGAATTTTCATATGGACATCCAATGAAGTACAACTTGAATACAGTCGTTTTCAAGTATGGGTCAGCTGCCTTATGTGGATATCCACTTGGACTTCTAGTGGATACCCAATATTCGTAAATACATATATTTTGGTTTTCTGATTTCCAATCAATAAAATAAAAATCTCAATTCGAAGTGGGTTCAAGGATCTAAAATATTAAATCAAATTAAGTAATCACAAAAATAAAAAAAATGTTCTTGTCTTCTCGATACAGTAGAACCTCGATTATCCGGGCCAGCCGGGACTGAGCCTTTGCCGGATAATCGAAAACACGGATAATCCAAAAACCTCTTTTAATTTTTTAATAATTTGTTTAGACAAATACTTATGGTCAAAGGAACAAAAGAAACGTATTACATATAACAAAAATAAAAGTTTTAATATTTATACATAACACAGTGTCTAGGTACACGCTAACTTGTACGCAATTCAAAAAGTTATATACACGCAAAACGTCATGCGCTACGGTATTATTATGACTCGCGTATCGGGGACAACACTAATGATTTGTAGTTCGCATGTCGTATGCGTTTTATTTGTACATCAGTCTCCTTTTGACAGAGTAGGTGAGTCGTGTCCAGGCCGTTGGTGTTTATGCCGGTCGGCGTAGCCAGGTATGGATTGAAATTTTCAGGTGGCGGCGAAGCCGCCACCCTATGAGAAGTCGTTGCTTCTTCTTCTTGTTGTCACGGCATTACTATTATTTGTTCATGTATATGATATTTGCTTCTAAGGTTTATAAAATACTGCTGCTAGTCACGGCGTAAATGAAAACAAACAAGACGCATTCACACAAACACCTCCCACCACAGCAATTACAAATCATTAGTGTTGTCCTCGATACGCGAGTATTATTATGGGCCTCGTCCTGAGGAATCGCCTTTTTGATCGTAACTAATATAGATAACTCGGGCGCGTAATTCAACGTTTGATGACGTTTTGCGTGTATATAATTTTTTGATTTGTGTACACGTTAGCATGTACCTAGCCACAGCGTATACATAATGAAAGAATGTACATTGAATGTATAATACATATATCGATATGATACCTGATTCAAAATTAATTTAGTAACAAAAAGGTAAATCAAACGAGGGTGGTCCTTAGGATCTCACAAGAGTATTTTATTACGACCGGTTTCGAGGATTTGATCCTCATCATCAGGTAAGGTCTAAAAATAGAGAGGAAAAACGAATGAGCTCATAACTAATAAAGTGGGTTTAAACATTTTAATATGAAAGTTGTCAAATATCAAGAACTCACCCGTAATTACTCGTCTATTTAAGACCAAGCTAAGAGAATTATCCCAGGGTCGGTGTAAAAACAAGTATGCGAGTATTTTTTATAATACATAAAAAATATAAAAAACAATAGTTACAACAAAAAGTTGATGTCAAAACACATAAACAAAAGTAGGTCTAAAACTATCAATTAAAATTATTAAAATATTTCACGAACGGACGAACAATTAAGACAAACAAATTTAAAAACTTTTTAAACCCTACAAGCACTAATGAGTTCTTGGACAAGTGTTTATAATTCTACAGGAATTAAATTTTATTTAGATTAAATATACTGATTAACGCCTTCGTCTATTTATATCTTGATATTGGATAATTTAAAAAGTAAGGTTAGGTTATATTTAGCTGGACCAACAGTTTAGATAAATAAGTATAATATATATGTGACATTCTACATAAAGGGCTATTTTCAGACTTCATTTTCGTTTTGGATATAGCTTGATTTAAAATATAGGTTCACTTTTTGAGGAATTCTACAACAGAGCGTCTTTTTTCCAGTTGAAATTGCGGCGCCAATATACATATAATGTGAGTGTATGTGTGATTAGGTTTAGGTTTTCCTTGGCTGCGGGTACTATATGTTCATTCATCAGCTTACATGTACATAATATGTTTTTTAATATAATAGTATGTTTATACTATAGTTTACTTTTTTAAATATATTTAGCCTGCTCATAATATTTGTCTTTGTTTTACCTAACTATACTTAATATAACAACAATAATAAAGAATAAGATTTATTTGTAAGATGCTTATATGTTAGATAACTTGTGCGTTGCATTCAATTTAAAACTTACTTCACATATTATGCTGATTTTCTTCATATGGAATATTTTTATAGATTATGCAGTATCTTTAAAAAAAAAATAAAAAAATTAATGAAGCATTAAATACGACACTCTATAGGCGTATAATATCTTAAATATATCAAACAATGGATGTACACTGGGTATGTTAAACATCTATAAGATATATCCATTGGTAATTTATGAACCTCTACTAAACGTACCCATTAGATATTTTGCTGGATATCCATTGATTATCTTCTATATCCTGGATATAGACGGACATTTGGATATCCATATTAGATCCACTGGATATCTATGATATCCTGTTGATATATTGGATATCCACAAAAGATATTCTGTGGATATCTCTGGGATTTTGTGTATTGTCTGGGAGATACCCATTAGATATTTTGCTGGATATCCATAGGATATGTTTCTATATCTTGGATATAGACGGACATTTGGATATCCATATTAGATCCACGGGATATCTATGATATCCTGTGGATATATTGGATATCCACAAAAGATATTCTAGGGATATCTCTGGGATCTGGTGTGTTGTCTGGGTAGAGATAAGGAGGCGAATCGGCATGCTCAAAATAGTAAATAGTAGAATAGTACTACTATTTCAAACTTATTTTTATCACTTTTAATTCTAAGTTATATTTTTTATTGATCTTTATTTATTAAGAATAAATTTACCTTATTTGCTTTCTGGATATATTTCTCAATGTGCCTGA